TATTTAACGAAAAAATATCATCAAGATAACGGTAAGTGTTGTTGAATTTTTCAATTAAATGCAATTTCGACGGTCTTTACTGAGGTTGGTCATAAACTATGATTCATAACAGTACAAAAACAAGTCTGCTATTAAAGGGGCGCAATTAGTGCCCATAGGAATACCTACAACCGGTCGATAAACTTTGTTGCCGAAACGTACACAAATATTATCAAGGAGAAAATTAACAGCTTCAATCATCTCATCACACCTCCAGTAAGTATATCTAGCATAATATTTACCTTTCTCATTAGAGAAGAAGGTTTTAAATGAATGGCAGCAAATATATTTGCATTCAGATTTACCAAACGACCATTTATTTAAATAACAGAACTTTTGTTTGATAAGATTGTCTGGAAGTGTAGTGTAAAGAGTTAAAAAGTCAAAACTATCCACAGAATCAAAAGGGACATCAAAAGCACGTAATTTATCTAAAACATCTAAAGATTGTTTTACACTACAAAAATAGTTAATTCCACTATTTTCATATATTTTATTACAAAAGTTAATGATAAGTTCTTTGATAGTAGTTAGGGACTAGTTATAAGCACTGAAAGATTAGTTGTAGAACACTTACTAGAGGCCGAGATGAAACGATATTTTACTGTTTTCTGTGTAATTTAGGTAACCAATACATAGTAGGAACCTTCGAATGTTCAGAGGAGGCCTTAAGCTGTGATGTGGTTATGATATGTTTGTTTACTATAATATGACTCTCTGTGGAGCGTATGGACTTGAATGTAGATGGATTTAGAATTTCATTCTTAAGAACGTCCGTGTAGTATTTACGGCATAACACCACCACACTGTTGACTGCTTTGTCGGCCGGTACAAACACAAACCGCTTTGAAAGTTCTTGAAGTTTATTTCTTATTCTAGAAATATGTGTATTATGTACTCTTTTATGTATTTCTGAATTATTTTCAAACTGTGATATTCGAATATCCACCACATTCATACATTTATTTAAATAAGAATCAAGATATATTTTATCAGATTTTTCCCGTTTACACCAATTTTTACAATACGAGGAAAGAGCGTCCTTTGTGACCTGACGACACTGTTTCCAATCTATTTTAGATGGAGGACGATATTTTTGTCCTTTTTTTCAAAAAGTGTTTAACCTCTCTGTTTTGGACGATATTGAGGTCCCCAGTAATAACATTGCCATAGGGATCATATCTAAACTTCGACGATTCACAGTTTCAAGTTAGAGGAGTATTATTTTCTACATTGAAGTCTGATGTTACTGACGTATGATTCAAATTAAACTTCTTCTGTGTTTTTTTGTATGTATACGAAATAATGGGTGGTTCTGTGTTGTCAAATTAGGGAGGTACAAAGTTTTGAACAGTAGAGTCAAAGTATACACGCTTTTAAATGTCTTGTAATACCGAAAATCAAATATGTTTTGGTTCATGTTTTAAAGATGCAATGACATATTTTATCGCAAAACAATTCCTTTATACTTACGTATGCATGAATAAACAGATTAATTGATTGTTTGATTATTGTTTGCGTAACATCCAGTGGCCATTATTTCGTGCATATTCAGGAAGATGAATAAAATATTTGGAGTAAGTGTCAGTTAGTCACCCAAGAAAAAAACCCACACCAAAACCACAGCTAGATGTTTTAGATTGTAAGTATAATGACATGTAATTTTGTAGGTTGATTCAATAATTATTCTGTCTCTACAAATTTGATTATTCTGTTGTTTTCAAGTACATCATCTATATATTCAGTGTTATTTTGTGGTGTATGCTATATATTTTTTTAGGTTGGTAGGTCTTTAAAACACAGTTTCCACTATAAGATGTATAACGATTTTAACTATCTGAGGTGCATTGAACGACCTTAACTTCCGAGAGGAATAGTCGGAAAGGAGGTAGGACTATAACGTCCCCTGTATTTGTTTCACTCACTAGACCAAAATCTAAATGTCATATCTTACTAGATATTGAATATTCACAACGGAGTCTCTATCATATACTTGAAACATTTTAAAATAAAATTTACTTATTTTGATAAAACAAAAATGTTATTCAGCGCAGCTGCTGTGTGTTCATGTTGCTGTTGAAATCATTTCGATAAAAAATTGCTAATTTTAAATGTTTTTGTCAAACTTTGCATCGATGGACGTCACTCAGCAAAATGAATTGATTTGTTTCAGAAACATAAAACATGTAAAGCTTTAATATCAGTAAAATTTTGGTGCATGTTCATCTATTACATGTTTGGGACAAATACTCAGAATTATTCCCATATCTCTCCAAATTACTCTCTTACAGTTGTTTATAAATTAGTGATCCGTTTAGAAATAAGCCATAATATTGCTAGAACTTTGAAGTACTCACATGGAGTGGGATACTGTGAATAAGTTGAGACTTATTGAGGAATCAAATAATCTTTCATTTTGCCAGGATATCTTACCTTACCAAATGCTTTACTACCAAGGGAGATAATATAACTGGATCTTACTGTAGATAAAAAACCCACTATACTTTAAAATAACAAGAAAACAGGACCCCTATAAACTTAAGATTAACATAAATCTGAACAATGCCTCTTCCCCTGTCAAAGATAACAATTTATAGATTATGAGTTTTTTTATATGTTTGAAAAAGAATGAAGTTTCTTAGCCAATATCAAATTACCTCAATTAAGACACTATCAAACACTGTACACATGAAAAGCCAAGCATTCATAAATCACATTTTGATAGCAACTTACAGAACAACAAAACAAGTGTGAAATTTGTCACAATACACATTTGTGGTTACAACATGGTCAAATCTAGCATTCCACTTTGCAACCGTCAGACATCTCATTAGGACCTGTGGCCTATATATTATTAAGGGCTAATGAAACATTGGGGTGTGTGTTTCAATTTGCCTAAAAATAACCTAAAATAACCTGGAGATCTGAGGCAATTTTCAAATGTGACCTTATGATCAAAGAGAGGTACCCTACTTGAGCCCCACATCTATCAATTTCAACTCAAAAGTTTGAGATACTACAAATATTTGTACCACAAAGACAAGATGACCAATCACATCAATCCTCCAAAATGTTTCAGACAAGCTAGTGCAAACCTATTGCTAGAAGTCTACGGTCTCATTTTCTGTACTTAAGCTCCCATAGCAGAAATCAGTGTATTTTAACGACTGAGTAGCACCTCTGAATGACTTTTTTTTTGTCCACCATTTACCAGAATTTGGAATCTTTTGCAGCAGCTCATGGAACAACCTATGTATCAAGATTAATAGTTTGTTGCAGCAGCTCAAGGAACAAACATTATGTAAGGCCTTTTATAGCGGACTATACGTTATGGGGTTTTCTCATTGTTGAAGGATGTACAGTTGCCTTTAATGGCTTACATCCGCTTCATTTGGTGAATAGTTGTCTCATTGGCAATCATACCACATCCCTTTATTTTTATATTATAATTAGTTAAATGTGAAATTCATTTAGCAAAATCTCTTGTGAAGGTGATTAGACTTCTTAGAGAGTCATTTTACAGACAAGATATCAGGACTACTTAATGCATTACCTCCTTTGCGTTTTCAGACATTTAAAAAGCACTCTTCCTTTGGATTTGGTATTTTCATGAGTGTGTAGTGATTTTGTGCCATGAATTTATGCACCAATTTCTTATTTTGCACAATTAAATGCTATGTAATAAATATCATGTCCTGGTTTTGTGAAAATATATCAGCTTTTTATTGGATTCTTAGATGTGAATATCAGTTTATCTGGAGATTTAAGACAAATATACATTCTCTCAATTTAAGAAACCCTTCAACTTCTATTACCATGACAATAGCATTTGAAAAATATGTTACCAATTGATGCCGCCATCTAGCAGATTATAATAATAGCAACGGATTATGTAGGTAAACATTTTGCACATTAGTTCTCTCTTTTGAAGTTTTCCATTTTGTTATCCCATAGCTTTTTATAGCTTACTATATAGTATGGTACGGTATAGTTTTTGCTCATTATTGAAGTCATCTGTGTGTAATTGTTTACATTCTTGTCCTTTGATTTTTAGTGGATAGTTTTCTCATTGGCAATCATACCTGTCCATATCTCCTTACTTCTTTTTCTATACAAGTGAGTAAGTTTATCATAAACTAATATTTTATTTTTTTATATTTATTTTATTTGTTAGTTCCATTAATTTTGTAGTATAATTTCTCCATCTAGTTTATGTGTAAAACAGTGTTAACAAGAATAATACTAACAAGAAAGGACAAGTCATACATATAACAAATAAGACATAGTTTCTACTGACCAAAAGTTATCTCTCGTCAGATTCACATATGCACCAATTAAAATTTAACGATTGGTTTTATTTTTTTAAAATGCATTATATAATGTATCAGTAATATGTAGTTCTTGTCTTTTATATTCAATTTATTCCTTAATCTCAATGTAAATTGCTCCCTTGTATATTTTTCACAATCAGAAAATATCAGAATTGTAAAATAAGGGAGATAATTCAATATTTTAGCTTTAGGTATAATATATCATATACTATGCTGCAGCAGTACCCTATGAAAAAGTGTACTTAATTTCATACTGCAGCATATTGTTTTAATTTTCTTATATGCTAAAGGTATTAAAACAAAGATTTATTTTCAGTCTTTGTACTAACCAAAACCAAGAACAAATACACATAACAAAAAATCATAGAATACTGTTTTAAAGTGCAAGTTGATCTAACCTCTGCACTATTATACATGTAGCTAATACTATTTTTCATTAAATTTATTTTGAGAGAAAAAAACTCTGAAATAATACAAATCCAAAGGTTCCTTTATATTTCTTAAAAATTTGCAAATGATTATTTTCGAAAAATTGTGGCAGTATTTTCATTAAGAAAACAACATAATTCCCTAATCCTTTCATACCTGAAACAATCTTTCACAACATATATTTCTTTCTCTCTCTCTCCCTCTCTCTCTCTCTCTCACTCACAACACATTCATAAAATTGGGACTTTGTTTCTTTATCCACAACATTTACTCTCCATTCTCTCTCTCTTCCTTTGAACAAGCACCTTTATATATAATTTGGTTCTCTTATACAAATTATAAAATATAACAAAAAATAGTTAACAAAGTTATGTACAAACTGAACACATAAGTAAATAAATGACATCACAGACTTCTCACATGTCATGCTTAAAGAATTACTGAGATCAATGCAAAATTGCAAAAAATGAAATGAAAATTTTGCCATCTTAGTTTTAAAGAATTGTAAAAGTTAATAAAGATAATGATCTATCATGACTACAAGGGTTTTCCTCCACTTTTCTTTCTCTTTCTGGACTCCCTCTTATATTCTCATTTCATCTGAAAATACAAATATAAAAATATATAAATTAAAACATCATAAACAATACAATTACTTTTTCCTTTTTTTTTTGTTTACAATAATTGCTCTTAGAAATATCTTGTATGCAGAATAAACAAGTGAAACTGTGAGCTACTGCTCAGTGATGATACCCCGGCCAAATATTTCAGTAAACAAGAAGTTGCTCAGTGATGAATCTGAAAACGTATCACACAGTATAGCTGACTCATATAAACTCTGAAACCAAATTTCAGAAATCCTTGTAATGTAGTTCCTGAGATAAATGTGACAAAAATTTTCAACTACTTGGATGTCATGTGTAAAATGATGCAAGTGTTTGCTAAACAGGAAGTTGCTGAGTGATGAATCTGAAAACGCATCACACAGTATAGCCGACTCATATAAACCCTGAAACCAAATTTCAGAAATCCATGTAATGTATTTTCTGAGAAAAATGCGACGAAAAATATTCATGGGACGGACAGACAGACTGACGGATGGATGGATGGACGGACGGACAGACAAAGTCAGAGGTAAAACAGTATACCCCCACTTTTTTTAAAGCAGGGGTATAAATATAACCTGTGACTCAATTATTTTTTTTATTCCAGATCACATACAAGGAAGAGATTACATTAATTTGTTATAAATAACTTAACACTTTTGTGTGCAGATTACTGTGTTTGTTGAGTACACAGTAGGAAAATCATGACTTTTATAAATCCACAACTTCCCACTTCATAAAAAAAAATGTGTGAACATGGACAATAGGTTTCTAAATGAGGATCAAATCATAAACTGTTTATCTTTCTACGACAAACTTGTATGTTACTTCATTAAATTTTATGAAACCCAATTAATATAATAAAGAGAAATTAAACTCACCACAAAATCTGCGCACAATTCATTCATATCCACATTCTTTCCACATTAAGAGACTGTAGTCCTATGTTGCCTTGCAGTCAACAGTCGAATTGGAGCTCAGCTCCCCTGAGCCATGTTGGATTTTCCTCTATGTAGATTAGATTTTGTTTGGTGAGTTTAACAGATATTCATCACATTATAACATATTAGTTTAAGCATTTCGATCTATCAAGCAGCATCGTAACAGTATAATGTAAAATTTGGCACCTTTATTTGTAGAAACTTCACTGTCCTGCTATACGAAAAGATCTTTTGGACGATTTTCAAAGTCATCGTCCAATTCATCTGGATTGATTGTGTAACTACCAGATGTTGTTGTACATTCATCGTCATCTCGACTCTGTATGCTACCTAATGCCATATAAAATGGTGAATTGTTTTGAAAATTTAATTTCATGTCACTTGTCCACGTCGGACTAATTGTTGAAGTCTGTGAATTACTAGGGTGCCTACTTGATAATGGATTTTCTGACCACATAGAATTTGAACTTCCTGTCAGCATGCTATCATCTAAATATTTATTAGATTTGTCCCGCGGTGGAGGTAACATATTGCAACGTGCAATGTCTGTATTATTAGATTTGTTTTTGTCTAACATAACGTATATTCCAGTGTTGTTATATGTTTGATTGTTCAGAGCAAATGGTCTTCCATTCTTATCTGAAAATAAAAATTATAAAGTAATAAATTAAAATTTGACGAAAATAATAGAGATACAGAAGAGTGAATTAATACTACACTATTTGTTCCTTCATTTTCTTTAACTGTGCATCATTTTATTAAATGATTTTCACATTTTGGGAGACTTTTTAGAGATTGTCATGTGGCTTTAGCTTTTGGTGAGGCTAATGTACCTTAGCTTGCTCACCTTCTTTCAAAAGGATTTTTTTGGCTAGCTGCTTAAATGGCATTTACACCATGTACTCTCATTATCATAATACGCAGGAGACTTTTGTGTACTACAGTAAAAGTTGATATGTATATTAATTGGAAAGCAGTCCATAAATCAGGTCTTTGCTTTTCTTTTTGAATTGTTTTCACATTTTGTCATGCTAGTGTATTTTATAGCTTACTATACATTATGGGTTTTGCTTATTGTTGAAGCCTTTACGGGCCCATAGTTTACATCCTTTGTCCTTTGGTCTTTAGTGGATAGTTGTCTCCTTGGCAATCATACCACATCTTATCTTTATAGTGAAAAATGTGTATTATCTCCCTTTACAAATTTCATCATAATGTAAGTTGTGTGTCCAATTTCCTTATTTTCTTCAATATATTTTAATTATATTTTACTTTTTTGCTTATAATATCCCAACTATAAATAATTAACAATGGTCATTTTTGTTTGGACAAAAGTGTTCATAAAACTTCATTACACACACAATTTTTTCAATTAGATTTAAAATATTACCTAATTGGTGATTGTAATCTTCCTCACTCCCATGACCACTGTCTGTTTTACTGGAAGTTTCACTTTCATCTGGCACTTTCTGTGGCATCTGTGAAAAAATTCAAATATATTTAATTTTATAGTCATAACATGATTTGTACTAGGAAACCCACTTTTTTGTATTAAAATTTTTTGAAATATTATTTTTCTAATAGCATATATATTAAAACCTTGGAATTATACATTTATACTTCTTTTAATTCAAGGATTTTGGCAGTTGAAAATTAAAATAAAAACATTTTCATTACTGACCTTTTTTCAATAGATAATGTTTAGATAAATAATTTTTTTATATATTTCATGGAAAAGATGTCTCACTGGATTTCACAAATCATATGAAATATTGGGAAGAGGGACATGTTTAACTGTATATAAAACAAATCAGTAATAAAACGATTTCACCAGAAGTGTATTTAAGTTGTCAGATTGAAAAAAAGAGAGACAAGTATTGGGCTTTGTGAGTCTAAATTTAACAACCTATAGTAAGCAGCAAAAGGGGTTACAAAATGAAGAGAGAATCATTTATTTATTACTGTCAATTTCTAAATAAACTGCTTATCATGGTATATAGTTTAAGTTCAAAACTTTTATCAAGGCACTCCTTCTTCAAATAAATTAAGAAAAATAAACTATTAAATCTTTGAAAGAAACTGCATCTTCTTTTTGAATCATTCAAAATAAATAATTAAAATACTACTTCAGGCCAGCTGACTATTTTGCTTTTTGGGTAATTAAAATCCTTAATGCTCAGTTAATGGCCATGATCCTCTTTCCCTCATTCCCTAAATTCAATATTTATACAGAAATCATCTAACAGAATTTAGGCGCTACATTTTTAACACAATAAATCAAATACATTTATATCTGGGGAAATTGTTTTAATAAAGGATAAATATTAACAATATTTTTGAAAAGATATGAATTCAAATAATCAAAATCATTATCATTTCTGCAATATCATGTCCTTATCATGCGTTTTGATCTCAATTTTATATTATGAAAATAAAATATAGCGTCAAATTTCAAATAAACTTTATGGAAATGTACATTGATTGTTTCGATGCACTCCAACGAGAAAAGGGTAAACACTTTTGTAGAAAAAATCAATTAGTATTTAATAGCTAACACAAACAATAACATGGTCCTATTTTGGAAATAAAAAAGTAATAATATCACCATTTTTCTTATTGTGCTTGGTAGGCCTTTTGAAGAGAAATCAGCTTCTCAGTGAAGCTTGTACCTATGTTTAGTGTCACCTGCTGACTAAAACACAAAATGGAAATGACATTCATATTTCATTCGCTGTCTTTTCGACATGGCTGGCTTATGCACGTCATTGAATTTTCTTCATGTATAAAATGATATTCTAACTTAACATGATTATATCCGTAGCCTGAATAGAATTTTACACCATGAAATGAATTCTGTTTAGAAAAAGTGATGATGTGAAAAGAAAAAGATTAGTGGAAATTATAAGGAATCAATTTCATATCTTGCTTCAGTTCCTGAGGACAAAAAAATAATGTTCCAGTAGATATATGTCAACTTCCAAAATCAGAGTCATGGTGTTTATGGTTTTATTAAAAATTAAAAAATATCTTTATTTACAAGTAAAAAGTTTTGTGCGTTCTTCCTTTCAATTTATTAATTATAATATTAATTTAACGGTGAATTTTGGAAACCAAATTTAAAGCAGGCTTACAATCAGTGTTGAAATGTTGTCATTAAAAAGCCCAGTTTTACCGAACAAAAGTCACATTTAAGACTCATTGTTAGTCATGATTTTTTATTTATTCATTAAATTGATTTTAATTTTCCTATATGCCATGAAGAAGTACATCCAGTGCAAAAACAGCAAGATATTATACAAAGGTAAAACATCTTGTATGTCTTTATTCTAAAGCTCCAATGGAATGATTCTCAACAAAAATTATTTGGCTTGCCAAATTCAATCTAACACTATTATGTAACAAATATACTTAATAATGGAAAAATGTTTTTAAAGTGGGACAAAAAGTTTCAACAAATACTTGAGTGCACGCAGTAACTGTCCTTACTTTGTCAAGGTAGTTTTACTAAAATAGTTTTAATAACTAGATACAAATGAATTCCCACTTTAGATTTTTGAAACCATTAAAGTAGATTTTATTTTATCACGACAGATTTTGTTAAAAGTAGATTACAACAATATGCAAGAAGTTTTACAACCAATTAAAAAAGTAGAAACAAAATGGGTCTCCTTCTTTTTCATGGAGTGTTGGGATTTTCTATTGCCCAAACGTTTGTAAACGTATATATTATTGGATTTTGACAAAATTATTACCTGTCTATTTTAAATAAAATTCTGAATCTCCAAAGGCTATTTTAAGAATTTTATTTTAGTCAAGTTGACCAACAGAAATATTTTTAAAAAGATTAATGTTCCTTATTTTGTCGCACCATTACAATTACTTCTAGATTAAAATAGTGATAAAATTTAGTGTCCATCTGACATGACTGAAATAAGTCGGCTACACTTAACCCCTACTTTAATGGTCATCTCAGGACCTTCCTGTGGCAAAATTTTAAATACAGTTTCATTTTAATGTTTGTTTTATTCTACTTGGGGTTAAATAGAGAACAAACGGTCTTACTTTTTATCACAGATAATTATAAAAGTATACTAACTATGGTTTCTATTTGACCAGTGTCAGCCGAAAGATTTTTATATTATTTGTATCCAAAGTTTCAATTAATTTTATTTTTTGTAATCAAATAAGTTTAAAAAGCTTGTGTACTTAAAATATAATTAACAGGAAAATAAGTCTATGAATACAATCATAAATTTTATACAGATCAAAATGTAATATTTGAAGTAAAGTTATCATTTCAAAGACATAGAAATATTTATTCACATTTCTCCTTTTTATTTCAACAAAAAAAACAGATTTTGAATAGGATGAACTTAAATTTAAATATTCATCATATCTCTTTTTTTCAATGAAATCATACATCCCATTTAAAATACCACATTTTCTTCTAGAATCAATAACATCATTATCAAGCCTCCGATTTTGATAAAGTGGGAGGAGTCACGTTCAATATATATGCAGATCAATATTCCATGGTTAAAATAATTTGAATTGTATAAACCATTGTCAATTTCATAAAGTAAACCCTGAAAAGGAGGAAAATTTGAATTTTAATAAACACATCTGTTGTTGCCAATGAATCAACTTTAGATTAAAATTTATTTATTCAGATAATGCTACATTGTTATCGAATAAAATCAATGAACTTTATGTGTATCTAAATTACTGGACATACAAAATATTAGTATTTTATGAATTAAATCAGGCAAGAGGAAGCGTGAAAAATTGAAAGCTTTTATGAGGTCAATATAGTACAGTCGAGATTAAACCATGTTCAAATATTAATTTCAAAATTATCAATGAGTGTTCACCATGTTCACAAAATGTTCTTCTGTTTAGCCAAAAAATATGACTTTTCCAGAATGAGAACCACTTTTTGGGGCATTAATATAAAATTTGATTAAGTGTCACTTTCTCATAGAAAATTGAAAAAGGGTATCTTATAAAGCACAGATTAGGTACTAGAAGAGTTCTTTCCCTTACCTGTCTATCATAATTATAATTGCTGTCATCTTTCTCTTTATGAGGTGAATCTTTCTTTGACTGAAAAATAAATATATGATATTTTAATATATCATAACTCAAGAGCAAGTTTAATGTACTGTATTGAATTAGATTAAAATAAAATATTTTGCAAGCTTGTAATTATTTAAATAAAAGGGAGATAATTTCAACATTGGTAACTTGAAAGCATTTAAAAACAATCATATGCTAACTAAATTTAGGAAATTATTTACACATATTTTCTAAATTTAGACCATCAACTATATAACACAATAGATTAAAACCATAATGATAAAAAAATCAGTGACAAATTTTTGGGTTGGTTCATCACAAAATTTTCATTAATGACAAATGTAATCCATGGATCAAAGCCTTTATCAACCTTATTCCATTATAAGTCAATTTCCCAGTAAATAAACAAATATTTATCTATCCCTCTATTTGTTTTTAGAAATGGACACATTCGATAAAAGTTTTGTCAAATTTATTTTACCAAAACAAGCTTTGTGTATCTCACTAGATAGTTAACATGGTTAAGAGTTTAACTGTTTGTCAACCCGCACAAAGGTTCATTTGGGAGGAATTCGGTGTAAATGACTTCAAGTAAAATTTCTCATTTTAAGGAATCTAGTTTTTCTCCCTTTCATCTAGCTTGTAATGTTTCTGTTTCACTGAGATTCAGAGATTTTTAAATGAATTGAAATAGTCAAAACACTAAATTACAAATAAATTTATTGGTAATTTCTAAAACAATTAAAATATAAGAAAAACACAAAGACACTTTAAGCTTTTTTTTCATTTCAGTCAAAAGGTCTAAAAAAAAACTATTAACTTCTCTTTTCTCTATATAGGTAGATATCTCTTTAAAGGTAGATAACTCTCTGAAGTTTTTATTTCAGAATGTACTGGAGCCTCAGAGTAGCTTATACCGCAAAATCAAAAATAAGGATGTGATTTGGACCTATCCTTATGAAACTTAGAGGCAATGAACTGTGTGGTTAAGCATCATAGCCAAACAGAAAAGACAAGAATCAAAAACATTACACTTGTTACACAAACTTATCTGATAAGTTTTAAGTGTTTGTTTCAATTTAAAGTACATGCAGAAAAGTGACAAAACCACATTTTATCTTTGCTCGGAGATAACAGATCTTAAGTTGTTTACTTAAAACAAGAAACAAAAACAAAATCTTTGCAACTAAAAAGAATACTTTATGAAAAGAAAGCAATAAACAAAACAAAAATAGTGACTTTATAAAGAAACAGATTCAGATTTTCTTCCCCATTAAACACCTATCTAACAAAGAACCAAAAATCGTCAAATGTTCACAAACAGGATGAAAAGAGTTAAATTACCATATCACAATTTTTAATCTCATTTTGCGCATTTTTCTGAAACAAAGGTTGATTTGTGAAATAAAACAAATGAAGAAAGATGCTCTGAAAAGATAACTTTTAATGAAAGAAAACAATAATATTTGAAGGCTCGGTTGATGAAGTTAGGTTTTTCACAAGGATAAATTTCAATACCAGGCTATTTAAAAGAGCGTGATGTTGCACAAAAAGAGGTTGGTTCAAGTTGCGTCATGTGATTCCATGTATTGTTGTTAAGTTTATATATATACTATACAAATCATTGTTCTTTATTACGAGATTCAGCGCCAAATCTTATGGGAAAAGATTGTGATATGTTTATTTTAAAAAATAAACAAAAAAATTTGGCATAAAAATAAAACACTTTGACGCTTACTATAAGATTGTTTCACGCTTTTGTAAATGATGAAGATATAAATGTTTTCAACATAAAAGTTTATGAATATAGATCATGTAGATAGCAATCATAATTCAATTTTCTATACGAGCCAGGACTCCTTTTTATTTAGTTTCAAAATCATTTTGATTTAAATTTGCTTATTTATAATTGTCAACAAAACAGCATGTTGAAAATATTGGCGCTGCATAAAACATATGAAATTTAAATACATTTGTAAAAAGTTGAAAATATATTCATAAAAACATGCCTACATCCATGACAATCATTACTTAGCATTCGACAAGCATATTATTATAATAAATTGAGACATCATTATCATTGACAAAGTTGACACGTCTTCCGGCAAGTCAATATGCAAATTATTTGAAGATAATAATCAAATATGTAACAAAACTTCCCATGATATTCACAATTTTTTCTAGAAGGCAAAATGAATTCATCTTGTAGTGAAATAGTTTTGTTTTTCACTCACTAATGTCAAATTAAATGAAAATTTGAGTACTGATAGTATCAGTCAAACTAAGTTCATATTAAGTATACATATTTAGTATGTACTTTTTATGGCTTAGTCCCCAATTCCCCCATTTTAGATCAAAAGCTTAAAAGAATTGCATTAGGCTTTTAAGTTTTAGCAGTTGGTACAATTAACCTAACCCAATAAATTAACTACACTGGTAAAGAGACTATTACATTTTCCTGGGACACTTTTTATATATTTTTGTGTATAATTTTCTTTACACATTACCTGAATGAAACTTCCTACCTATTGAAAAACCTGCTTTTATAATACATTTGAGTACTAGAAAAGGGGAGGGATTTGACAATATCTTTTCAAATAGAAGCTTACAATTTACATAATGCAGTTTAGATATTTTTAAGAGTAGTTATATGTTAATGTTGTAAATTTCCTTAACAGTCTATTGAAAATATGTTTTTTTTAACAGATATTATTAATTTTCTTAATTTTTAGAGAATAGGGGTGCATTATAATATTTTATGCCTATCCCTTAAATGATATGCACCATGTCATCATGGTCATGACAAACAAATCCTGCAACATATTTCAAGTCAAACTGAAATTTAATGTATACCTTGTACTCAAACTTATTTATAACTTAAGAAAACCTTAGAACAAACATCCACTTTGCATTTTTTACCTCAGAGACAGAAATTAGGATTAGAAGGCTGAAGCATTTCTCTCATTTAAAATATTTCCCTGACTTTTTTCTTTCTCACAAACCTCCAATGTCAAAATTAAACAGACAATTAGTAAAAGGAAACAGAAAAACAACCATTATCTGACCATTGGGTATGTCCTGTGTACTGAATCATCACAAAAGATGTACTCATTAGCTAGAAGATTATCACTGACCACAGAGCTAATGATTCAATGGGACTACAATGATGGTTTAAATAATACCTAAACGTTACGACACAATATGTAAGCCTGTGGTCTCAATTTATCATAACACCTATACTTAAAAACATCAAAATGAAAGAACCCTCCACCGAGGAGTGGATTTACACGTATACAATACAGGAAATATACAAATCGACAAGATTTGTTCAAGTCTATAAGAACTTATCGTTCAAAATGACTGGAGTTGTTTGGCACGTCTTACAATCAAATTTGGAATCTGATCTGCTCAGAGTTATGTTTCACACCTATAGAAACTCGATAAACCTGATACAGTTTTTCAAAATGTGTGACGACCCATGCTGGTGAAGACTTATTTCTCGACTCTAAAACAAGTCAAAGAGGGCACTGGGAATAGGAACGAAAATTGAAAACAGCTAGCAAAACACAAAATATAGGAAATTTTAACAATCAGAGTCCAAAACACACAGTATAGAAAATTGTAACAAAAAGAACTTAACCATTTTTAAATCTACACATATTTTAAACTAATTACAAAAGGTCAGGTTGAACAAATGACCTTAATTCAATTAAACTCATCAGATTAATGATTTGAATGAATAAACCCCTGTACTAAAAGCTTTAAATGTGGTTTGATCAAGTTGTGTATTAATCCTAAAGTTACAATACTAATGGTTAAAGAATTTTTATGTGAATTTTAACTGATTGACTTCATTTATAGATCAAGAAAACCTTTTACAAAAAATTATTTTTAAATCAATTAACACTTTAAACTGCATTTATCTTTATTTCTTTTCTACCAAAATTTTAAGCTAAAAATAATTAAGAAGACCCACACTACAAGTTCAATGTATCCATTAAATAAATCAAACAGAAATGTTTTGGTGAGAAATAATCCAAATGTTGGGTTTACATTGGTTGCTTGGTTCCTGTCTCAGTGATGTTTCACTACATCACTCCCCTTATTCATAATTTTATAAATTCAGAAATTATTGCGAGGTTTTTATTAATGGGAATAATGCGACTGGGTGGGTATTGCAACAATAAAAACTTGTATTCTGATATCTGACTCATATATCTTTATGCAGATTTTCCTTAATTAACATTGCAAAAGTTAGTCTTGTATTTTTCGTCCATTCTTAAAAAAATTGCAATAATAAATACATGCAATAATTTCTGAATTTACAGTTATAATTAAAATTCTCACCAATGTTAAGGAACCCATCATCTCCTCTTTGGTAAATGTTGTTCCAGGTTCAGAAAACTTTACTCTCTGTTTATTCCTGTCATTTTGCGCTGAGTAGGAGTTGTATTGAAAGTTTTTAGGGTGAGCCTGGACTTGATCATATTGGGGAGGTCGATTATTCTCCAAATAGCGCTCATTTTTACCACATGCAATATTCTTATTCCGTAGGAAGCAAATAACTGCAATGAGTGCAACGGCAACAACAAATGTCACACAAACAACACAGACCACAATCAGAATATACTCCTTGCTTTCTTCTGAAGTAGCATTGACGTATTGTATACTGATTTTGAGTTCTGCTGTTTCATTTAATGAAGGTCGACCTCGGTCTTTGGCCTCAATCTTTAATATGAAATTCTTATCTCTCACTGTATTTGACACCTTTTTCACATGCAAACTTCCAGTCAAAGGATTAAGATAGAACAAATTTTCATCATCACCGGAAAGAATAAAAAAGTTCACTTTTCCATTTTCCTCATAGTCCAAATCATAAGCCTGTATTGTTGCAATGATGGAATCGACAGGCAATGTGTTTGGAATTTGAATTGTATTGTTCGCGTTCTTTGGGAACGTGAAAATTGGCTTGTTATCATTTTTGTCAGTTATGGTGACTCTTACGGTTACTGTGCTTGTCAAAGATGGTGTCCCTTTATCTACAGCAATAACAGGGAAATCGTAATGACTTCTGTGCTCTCTGTCAAATATTTTTAGAGTTGTGACTTGTCCTGTTGAAAATACATTAAATGGTATTGAAGATGTATCAGAATTAGGATCTAGAGAGTATACAATTTGAGCATTGGTGCCTTGATCAGGGTCGATGGCCGACACAACTTCTACATTTGTTCCATTTGGCATGTTTTCTGAGACTTGGAAATCAAAAATCATTTTGACAAATTGTGGTTTATTGTCATTCTCATCTTTAATATTCACAACAACTGGAGCTTTTGATTCCAGCGGTGGGACTCCATTGTCTTTAGCAACAACTTCAAAAGTAAGACGAGCCGTTGCTTCTCTATCAAACAGTTGATTGGTTGTCACTTCTCCGGTCTGTGAATCAATTTTAAATCTTAGATCAGAACTTGGAGAAATTGCATAGGTTATTTTTCCATTGTCTCCAGAATCAATATCTGTGGCGTTAACTGTAAGTAAAGATGCACCAGCTGGTGTGTTTTCCAGAAGGTCAACTTGATAATAATATAAAGAAAACCTTGGTGGATTGTCATTTTCATCCTTTAGTATAATCTGAAAATGTACTGACCCATCCATTTCTGGTAGACCCTTGTCCTTGCAAGTGACCGTAACATTATGAAAAGCAATCTTCTCCCTGTCAAGTTTATGTTGCACAATAAGTCTAAAATCTGTGTCTGATATCCGTGAAAGTCCAAAATATGTACTATATGTTTGGCAGGTTACAACACCATTATCTCCTGAGTCCATGTCCTTCACCTTTATAACTGCAACAAGTACATCTATTTCGGATTTCTCACTAATCAACACTGCATCTCCATCTCGTTCATTTGATAAAAAGTTAACAGAGACTTCTGGTGCATTGTTGCCACTGTCTTGAACATGAACATTAACCGTTGCCTGTGAACTAAGTGGAGTATTCCCCTTATCTACGGCTTCAACTATCACTGTATATACTTTATTCTGTTCATATTCCAGTTTTTTAGCTGTTGTAAGCTTCCCTAAGGCATCAACAGTAAAAGAGTCATTAATTTCTTTAGCTTGGAAGCTTTTTAAACGATAAAATACCTGTCCATTTTTGCCACTGTCAATATCTACTGCTGTGAGGTGCTTCACTAAAGTTCCAGCGGGGGAAGTTTCATCTAAATTTACATTCACCTCAGATTCCGAAAATAATGGCTTGTTGTCGTTTTCATCCACAATATTAACATGGATAGTCAAGGTTCCAGTTCTTAGAGGGCTGCCATTATCATATGCCTTCAGATATAAAGTATATGATGGTGTTCTCTCTCTGTCTAATTCATTATGCACTGATATATATAATGCTTTATTGCCGTCAATATTTTCTTCTAAAAGTTTTAAATCGTCTTTTCCGCTTTGACTTGTTAAACTATAAGAAGCTATTCCATTTCCTTTCCCAGTATCTAAATCCCTAGCACCATGTATTGAAAATTTGCTAAACTGAGATGTTGATTCTGAAATATTCAAAGTCAGTTCATTTGGTTCAAACTTTGGGTCGTTATCATTCAAGTCAGAAACATTCACCCTAACTTCTATAATATGGAATATATCCTTTTTATGTGCAAGAATTTTAAAATCAAAATAGCAATCTTCTAAATACAAACATATTCCAACCCCTTCTCTGTCGATGATAGTATTTGTGTAGAGATGACTAGATAGAGGGTCGAGACGAAAAAGATGACGATGTTCTTCTTTAATGTCATAGAAATCGTATGTAATGCCGGTCAGTTGTTCTGTTGGATATTTTTCTCGCAATTTCGATTCAGTTAAAATATTTCCAATGAGTGTAGAATTTGGTCTATCCTCTTGTAGAATAAATGTAATGTTTTGTGATGAACATGTTAATACTGAAATTAGCAAAATGACTGATAATAACATGCTGGTAGCCATTTTGAATGTAATAATTCCTGTTGCTACGATTATCTTGTTCCCATGCCTTCCTTATTTAGTTGACTCCTCGTAGAGTACCATAGAATTCTTTGAAATCTGGAAGAAAAAAACCCAGAATATATATCTAAAAATATTGTTTTTGTATTAATGTTCTCATCAAAATTTGAATTTGAACTGCAAACATGTAGTACAACATACAAAACTGACCCACAATTAGGAATATATGTAAATAAATGTTTGTTAAGTGAAAAACATATATACAAGCTTTTGGTAACACTTGTTTATGATGAGGTTCAAATGTGTCTGAAGTAATGTATCTAAATGCATTCATAATTGGCTTACATTCCCACAAATACTTCCTAACGATATTGAGATTATTTTTTTATAATGTTACCAAAAGTAGAGGAAAACACTGTGTGCTTGTTAAACAATATAACCTTAAATCATCGCTAAAATAAAACAGGTGTTAATCCATCCTTATTTACATTTGCCCAAAATAATGTGAGCTGAAACTATAGTCCAATGAAAGTTGATAATGACTATCCAAAGTATCTTTACAGTGCTAAGACCTCAGACCAACAGAACTGGATAAGAACACCAGCTGTGATTGACTTCTTTTGTAGTACTATATAAAATGTTATCACAAAATTTGACGTTTACAAGTAGTTTTTCGTATTCATTATTTGTCAAATCAACACCTTATTCCACAGTACATATTTGTGTTGATATCATGAACATTATTATCAATTCGGAAGCGTGTTGAAATTAATTCAAATTTGTTTGAATTTTCTGACAGAAGTATTGGTCGCTATTCTTCAACCATTATTAATTACTATGGCTGTAGGGTGCTAAGATGTTCCACGTCTGTTCCGATAATTATTGAAATGAAATCTGTTTGCACAATTGTACACGACTGAATCATACAGGTGGTTTAAGAATTTTTTCTGCCAATTAACGTTAAATCCTGTGAGATTTCAAACTTTTTTGTATCCTTTGAACACGTCTTTGATGCACTTTACCAATTAGGAGGGAAATGTTAGTATTCGGTATATGTACACTTTGAAATAATTTTATCCAAATACAATTCAACAATAACAAGTTGATTATGTCAACGTCAAAACATTTTTTTTTCAAATTGAACAGGAACTTACAATTTGAACAAGAAATTTGCTCAACTTGTGCAAATACAAAACAAGTAAACCCTTATTGTCATTTACTTTTGGACTCCGTGTGAGAGATCCATGGAAATATAATAGAGTTGGTAAACACTTCATCAGAGGGGACGATACAATGTAAATAAAAAACTACTTGGACAAATAGTAACTATTAATTGTATCGAACTTTTGAGAGACAAAATTTGCTTGTCACAGTTTTTGTTATTGATTTCGGCATAAAGTGGCGTCAGACATATCCGTTTTAATATAACAAATTTTCCAAAGATAAATTTGTTAAAATCATAATCACTATAATTAGCATAATACTAGTTTATTGAAGAAAGTTACTTTTAGATTATAATTCCCATTAAATTACAGGGCAAAGTGGTTTCCAAAGAAAACAGTTACTCTACTGTTATTGCAGGTCAGATTATGTAATGAAATAAAACACACAAAAAATTCAAATATTTTGAAAATTTCACGCAAATATTTTCATAGTTTTTGGTTATAAACAAATAAACACTTATGAGAACTTATTCACCTGATAGAGAGAAACAAGTTAAATCTAAGGGATATACTAACAAACTTACATATAAATTTGTAAATAGTCATTCCAACTTTATATGTACTGCATAAGTATTGTTATTTCCACTTTCAAAAAAAAATATTCATCCCAATCATGATACAAAATATGACACATATTTATTTACAGAACAACAAATTCAAAATCAAAGTTCCGATCATATAACCCACACAGAATAAATAAATGTAAAGTTTAATAAGTTCGTTAAGTTAATCAACGAGAAGACACACCATTTAAATCGTCAAAGGTTAATGATTATAACAGGAATAAAAACACTGTATTTAATTAATAGAATAGGCGATGACAAGTCCTGATGATCGTGTAGATAATTTGTATTTTATACACCTATCACATTTGCATAATGTCTGCATGCCTGTTACCGTCAACCTCATTTTTCATATCTATTCATATCATAATAATAACTGCTTAAATGTATATCTAATATGTTTGTATGTGTTCTGCATAAATTTGTACCAAAAATAATAAATAGGCCATGTCATAATAATTAAGGTAATAATTATTTGAGAAACAGTTTTTAAATTAAGAATACATGTCTGCATGAAGTGTTATTTAAACAATATTTCAAAAATTTCATCTAATTTGGCAATTTATATACATTTTATAATTTTCCAAATTTTGATTTTGTCAAATTTCAATGATCACAATTTTCCCCCTCTTACAGTAAAAAACTGCTACTGTAGCAAACATTTTTGTATTGGCTAATAATACTGAATCTATTATTTGCAACTACTTTAGAATCATGACAAAAATAAAAAGAATCCTGCAATTTGATTGTATAATGTATATACACCTTAATAAATTGTAACCTTTTTATTCCAAGGTGTGGGTTAAGAAAGTCTATTTCATGAACCCTCACAATATTTTGGGCAGGACCTTTATCATAGCTGCAAAATAATACAGTCAACTTTATATTCCTAAGCAAAGTTATGACATCAGTATTAGAACAAAGTTTATCATGCAAAGACACTTCAGGATCTTTTTTTGCATCATTCTTTCTAAATCAAAGGAAGAGTTCTTTTTAAGTTACTTGCAAATTGCACTTGAAAATTGTCTGTTACCTGTATCGATTTATGTTAACTTGCTTTTTCTTTAGCATGTTAAATCAATCCATAGTCCTTCCTACTTCATATGCACTTAGTAAACAACAATCAAAATAAGACCACACGGAAATACGTAATACCAGTAAAGATTCAATATTACCGAACACGTTCCTGTATTGAGAACTTTCAACAAGTCTAAAGTCAAGTTTAAAACACGATCTGTCCAATTTATTATGTCATACAAAGTCTTCCATTGACATTAAACTTAAAAACAAGCATATTAAAGAAGAAATATTGTGTCTAATATTATATTTACGTGATTAATCAAAAATACAAGTAGCAGATTGTAACTTCTCTTCATTTTTAAAGTAAAAGACTATCTCACTTAAAACTTCAGCCCAAGTATAAGTTTCTCTTGAAAGTCAGATTTAATCCAATGAGCAGACGACAGTATAACCTTGTCTTCTGTTGGATCATCACAGCATATTTAAGTTGCCAGCAGCATCAAGAGTTCTTTTCTCTTAACAGGGAACAAGTCTTTTGGCTACTTGTACCCATTTTGACAAAACTTGAAATAAGTTTAAAAAAGTCAACTTCTTACAGGCCCAAATTAAATCAAAGATAATTGTTTTTTATTTTTTGCAAGTGAAAAACAAAGTTAGGAAAACAAGTTAGTTTAATTATCTAACAACCCAATTTGTTCCTCATTTGAACGATTTTATCATTAGGAAGCTTGTGTTACTAACATCCGAATATTTTCATTTCATTTACGCTAAACACACAGAAAATTTGTGTTTCTGAGAGAATTATCTAGGATGGAGTATTTAAATCTGTATATGATACAGTAAAGAAACAATGAGTAAGTCTTGGTGACATGGTTATTAAAATTAAATCACACATGAAATAATCATTATCAACTGTTTATTCTTCTGTTAGTATACTGGGGGATTTTGACTTTGACGAAAGTAAGGCTACATAAGTTTATAGGCTTGGTTCAAAAGAAAGTTTATTGAGAAGGTCAGTTGTCTCCCATTATTTCTTACATATATAGGGAAATAGAGAACTGAGACATAAAGGCTTTTGTTTTCCCAATGTAGACTACTGAATTTTTATAAATTTTGATCTGCAAAAGAACAAGTTTTCCTCTAGATCACTCAATGTAAAAAAAAAAACTTATAACCTGTGGGAGCTGGTGTTTTAGATGCGTTTTTAGGATAAAGAATATATCTGAAAGGAGACTGTACATCCCTAATAAGTATTGCTTATAGGGAGGAGGTTAATACTTGCTTGTTTTCCATTGAATTTATATTGCGATCTCAAAAGTCTGTTTTCATTTTAACAATACTCTGATAACAAATGTCACTTTAGCTCATCATGATAACTTAACAAATCTTTTGATAAGTAGGGGGTATAGATTGTAGAAAGGGAAGAAATCCAAAACCTCGTAAATCTATCAAATTTCACTTCTGTATATATTTATGTCGACATTCAAACCAGAATTTGTTTAATGTATATCCTATAATCATTCAGTATATCAGCCGGAAACTTCAAACTTCGGCTGATTCTAACTTTTAAATACTCATATTTGTTATTGAAGTATCAAAATACGATCATTTATGCTAATTCAGTCAAATTTCATAGCTTCCCTCGTAAAATCCTTGCTAACAAGAAGCAAGGAGGTCAATGAACAATATGGGTATTTTACTGTTCTTGACTTAATCAGACACACTAATTTAACTGTTCCTAATTTATTTAATTCAAAATTTGAAGTTTATTTGTATTTGTTATAAAGGAATCAAAACTTTATTAGCTTCAAAATAATGATTCATGATGTTTATACTTAAATTTTCTAGTAACAAAATTATGAATATAAAATGGAAACATTCATATCTTAACTAAATGAAATTGAAACTGAGTTTACTTAATAAGCATGATTATTCATATTACCATGAATTTGCAACTTCAATCAATATATAATTATTACAAATTCCAGAGAATATTTATCGGGAAATTTCCTATTTCAATAAATTAAAATCAACTGCATTTGTAAAAAATTTAAAATATTTGAGATGTTTTTACACAGGAAGTATGTTCTATCTTGACCCTTTAAAGCCAAATGGAGTGAACTTCACACCTGGAATCAACAAATCTACCAAATAATCGTCAAATGTACAAAACAGTGGTCATTTATCTCTATAAGGAATTCTATGGCTTTCAATACTTCTTTTCACTAATAACTCGTACAAAGAAATCGTAACGTTTCTCCATTGATTAAGTTTCTACATTTAAAGCTTGAAACTTTCAAATGGGCCAATAATAATTAATTACAGCGGATTAAAAGTGACACAAGGCAAACCCCATTACAGAAAGAAATGCCTAATACAGAAAACAAAATGAACAGGCAAAATTTTCTGCGAGCCAGTGCTTTCACAGGTCTATTATTGTCGGCAAGATCATTTCCATAAAATACTAATTATTACCATTGAAAATGAATATTTAACGGTTATTTATTACTTTTAATTGTGCTCACGTCAGTTTTCAACTTTTGTGTTATAACCTAGACATTTGGTTTTGTGTGGGTATAATGAATAATACAATATATATCCTGAAAATAATGAGGCATTTAATATAAATTTCTATTAATTTTCATTTGAGATAACATATATACTTGATCATACTTGATCATTTTTTTTTCAATCAATTTAGCATATAACATCAGCACCTCTAGCTTTCCCTTGAAAAAGTGGACATTTAATGAGTGTGAAAGCTTGCTAAAAGACTTGGAAAGTAACTCTCAAGAAAAGACACTAATACTTTTATAATTAACAGTAAAAAAAAAGAGTTTTATATAAATGCAAGAGTCATCAAAAGTTTCTTTCTTTCCACAAACATAAAGTTCTAATCCTCCAACAATGCAAGTCCTCAAAAGGTCAAAGAAATTTAATAAAAGCAGAAATAAAATAAGTCATTAAAAGACTTACCAATTTTTCACAAATATGAAGTTATAATTTTCCAATTTCATAAGTTCACAAAAGGGCAAAATTCAGTCACCACTCGAAAGCTTATAGTCCTCTGATATGATTACATATTGTGGGGGATTTACCTCAAAGCATCGTGGGTAGATCACATGGATAAGAAATGAACAGATAAAAATCCTTAAAAGTCTAAAAACAATGTCCATCAATCAGGCTGAACAGCTATGCATGGTTTTTCACAAAATTTTATTATCACAAAGATCTATTTTGCCTCACAATCTTGTGAGCGAGAATTTTAACAAGTGCAGATGATCAGCTGTGAATCTTTATCACCTTTTGTTTCATATATGGTGTTGGTAAATTGAGAAGCTTAACAAAAAGGATGAACAGATTTTTTTTTAACTGTATAACATATGTATCCAAAGAATACATAAGGTTTGGTTACTTTTTGAAAGACTTCTTTTGTTTTTAGTTGGTGTCAAAATTGATGTTAAAAACAAGATAGAGATTTTCACAATGTAAAAGATACAATTCATTTAGAAGTGTGTCTCGGGTACTATCTCTATTCTATAAACAAAAGATGACAAAAAAACACTGATTTACATCATATTTGTCATCAAGGACATTTTTTTACGATGTTTCCATTTTCATTTTCAGAAACAAAGAGTTTGTCAGAAAGTCAAACAAAAAAAAAATGATCTAGAAGTAAGTGCAAATTCAAAGACCAATTCAATCTAAAATATTTTGCACTTCCCTTACCCCAGAGATTCTAATTTTTGCCTTAAAATTAAATAAAAATGTCAATCTTTTTAACATTCTACCGAAGTAAATCAACATTAAAAAGCTATTTACAATACAAAACAATATTATTCTAAAATTACAATCATTATAAAATAACTGTTGATTTACTCACCCAAGATCAGAATATTATAGATGTTGTAAGTTCAAACATCCAGAAAATTATTCCAACAATCTGTTGGTCGTTTCATTAAAACCAAATAAAAAAGTCGTTACTCAAGTGACCACAATGGCCACTCAGTTTCCGCAGACCACTGGCCAAGTCAAAAGTAAAGGGTATAATTGTTGTCGGTATAATTGACAGTGACAAACATAGACTAACAAGTTTGAATTTTTAAGTTTGCTTAAGCAAACTCATCGTCGTAATTTTGTAAACTCCAGAAAATAACACCTTGTTGATCCCTCGTACGATTATCTTTCGTATCCAACTGACTACAGCTATAATTTGTCCCATCAGCTTTCAATTCCGTCACATCTTACCCGCGTTGATTTTTATTCTCTTTTAACTACAAATTATAGGTCCCGATTTTCTGAATCAGAAAGGTAGTTCAAGTTTTATTTTAAGAGAAGAGATCTTCGTTTTGTTAGCATGAAAGGACTTCCTTTCTTATTGTCAAATGATCCATTTTATCGGTCGTATTATGTTTAGGCCCCCTCTTAATTTCTATTGTTTGCTTAACACTATAGTTTTGTTTTCCACTCTTTTAACTCTACTATTTGATCCAAATAGGTTAGCAGTATGCTCAAATAGCCAATCACAAACCTTTTAATAAATAAATTCAAACTTTAAGCATTACAAAATGTATACCGGAACTGCTACAAACAACAGCTAATGGACGCACACATTTGATTTTTTACCTTTAATCTGATTAAAATTAATTTTGTAACTGGATAAAGATTATGTTTTATTTCTTTATAAATTTTCAAGTGTTGAGTAATGTGTTGGATGTATTAAAGATAATTCCTATTAATCTATCTGATTTCTAACCATTGTACCCAACTTAGTCCAACTACATTTTCAAATAAATCTCCACATGCTAGTAAAACGGTGAGAATATATTATTGTAAGAGGATTGTCAAGTTTAGCAGATTACATGTTCAATGAGGTTCCATTATTTCACTCTTTTCAATTGAATCGTCACACAATATAACATTACCAGTAAAAAGTTATAATCTGGTGTCCTCGACAGGGAGTACTTTAGTTTTTTCCGTTTTATGAGGGTTCGAACAAGAAAAGACGTGTTCTAACATCAGTTTAGGGGAATATCATCAATCAACAAGCTTTGCATATCCTGGGAAATGTCAGATTAGTCTACAGATCAACAATACTACTACATCAATATATGACAATACTTATTATTTCACTGAGATGTTACGACTGTACTTTAACAATCATTTTTTTTTTTAAATTTGAAGTACCCATGTTAATGCAATTTGTCACACAAAATTTAAAAGGAAAAATTGCACAAGTTTTATACTGCACAGGTTTATAGAAATAAATCATTGAAAACTTAAATAAAACAAGAAATGATTGTAACAGGATGCTGTTACGAAGTCTCCCAAACGAAGCTCCCATAATTCGTAATTCCCAGGGTCGCCTGACATTGGGCAAAGTCTAGTGAAAATTGGTTTGGTCCAGTAAAGTTATATGCATTAGTGATGCCTGGGGACTAACCCTGTATATCATTCAAATCATATTGGCATGACAAACCAGAATATATATGGTTTAGGGGTGGGGATCTCGACCATTTACAAGATATTACAACTTTCTCAAATGGCAGGGGGTCGGGATGATCCCTGGGGACTAACCCTGTATTTCATTTGATTTGCTTTATCATGACAAACCAGAATATATATGGTTTAGGGGTGGGGATCTTGACCACTTACAAGATATTAGAACTTTCTTAAATGGCATGGGGTGGGGGTGACCCCTGGGGACTAACCCTGTATTTCATTTGATTTGCTTTATCATGACAAACAAGAATATATATGGTTTAGGGGTGGGGATCTCGACCATTTACAAGATATTACAACTTTCTCAAATGGCAGGGGGTCGGGATGACCCCTGGGGACTAACCCTGTATATCATTCAAACCATCTTAGCATGACAAACCAGAATATATATGGTTTAGGGGTGGGGATCTTGACCACTTACAAGATATTAGAACTTTCTTAAATGGCATAGGGTGGGGGTGACCCCTGGGGACTAGCCCTGTATTTCATTTGATTTGCTTTATCATGACAAACCAGAATATATATGGTTTAGGGGTGGGGATCTCGACCATTTACAAGATATTACAACTTTCTCAAATGGCAGGGGGTCGGGATGACCCCTGGGGACTAACCCTGTATATCATTCAAACCATCTTAGCATGACAAACCAGAATATATATGGTTTAGGGGTGGGGATCTTGACCACTTACAAGATATTAGAACTTTCTTAAATGGCATGGGGTGGGGGTGACCCCTGGGGACTAACCCTGTATTTCATTTCATGTGCTTTATCATGACAAACCAGAATATATATGGTTTAGGGGTGGGGATCTCGACCATTTACAAGATATTACAACTTTCTCAAATGGCAGGGGGTCGGGATGACCCATGGGGACTAACCCTGTATATCATTCAAACCATCTTAGCATGACAAACCAGAATATATATGGTTTAGGGGTGGGGATCTCGACCATTTACAAGATATTAGAACTTTCTCAAATGGCAGGGGGTCATGATGACCCCTGGGGACTAACCCTGTATATCATTCAAACCATCTTAGCATGACAAACCAGAATATATATGGTTTAGGGGTGGGGATCTTGACCACTTACAAGGTATTAGAACTTTATTAAATGGCAGGGGGTGGGGGTGACCCCTGGGGACTAACCCTGTATTTCAATTAATGGGTTTTATCATTTAGAACATTTTCAATTAAAAAGATTGTGTCTATTACAAACGGTTTTCAATTTATAATCATTTGAAAATTAAAAAAAATAAAATCCCATAGGGTTCTATAGTAAAACCCTCTTTTCTTTTTGCCCCTCAAAGTACCCCTTTATAAACCCCATTGCACAAACAAAACCCTGATTGCACCACTAGACATGTTAGTCTAACATATTGTGAAACCCTAAGTTAATCTGACAAGCGGTTTTGGAGAACGGGTGCGGACAAGTTCAAATTTAAAAGCGGCGGAAGAGGAAGAGGAAGAAGAATAATAATAATAATAAGAACTGAGCAAAAACAATAAGTCTTCCCAAACTTCGTTTGGGAGACTTAATAATGTATCCAAAACACAATTATGATTGATTGTTGTCTTCTTAATGTTCAGTATCAAATCTTTCATATAAAAATAAAAAGATGTGGTATGATCGCCAATGAGACAAGTCTCCACCAGAGACCAAATGATGTAGATGAATATTCAGGATTAGAACAAATAAAAAGTAATTCAAAAGGTTCTGCAAAGTTATTCTACTGGGAAAAAAACAACAAAAAAACTCTATACATTACAATGTACACTAATTTGTTAAGGAAAACACATGACTAAATATTTGAATAAAGATTAGAGAGTGGCAATAAATCTAACAAGAAGAAACTGCCAACTAAAGTATTAAAACAAGACTCACCATCACTTACGCTTATCATTAGAGGGTGAAAGTTAAACCCAGTTCAAAAACAGTACCACACAGATACAGGATACATTTCTAGGTTTTCAAGACAATCCAACTCAAAATAAGAATGCTCTACAGTGAGTCAACAAAGACGCAGAGATATCTAAGGATTTGATGTACTTTTTAATCCGCCTAATCTACACATTGTTGTTTCTCTGGCCAGGTGATGAAGAAATCACTAATTTTTGACAGGTAAATCTTGTTGTTTAGTTGTAATTCCGTACAAAATCTTGTAATTAATTTTTGACGAGAGAAATCTTAAAGCCGACACATTTAGTTCTTGACAACTTAATCCAGCGTCCTTTGGGGCATATGTGAATTTCAATGCAAAGTAAAAATGTCGCAGCCCATCGTATTATTGTATCTAAGTTATCCTAATATGACAAGATAAGTATAGTTTTATTACGAGGAAGTTAATTTTTTAACTTGTAAACCCTGTTTGTAATAAACAGGATGATTTATAACCTTTTATCTTTCATTTATTTTTTGAAATTTGACAATTTCTACCCTAAAGTTTAATAAATAGAACTACATGTATAAGAAATACTCCTAATGTCCTTAATATATTCTGTATAAGAAAATCTGTTTTAACCCTTGAACCAACCATATTGAAAAAAACATATGCAAGAATTGATTAAAAAAATAAAAACATATGTGCTTAGTTGTCCTATTTCTAGAAATAAAAACAAATAAATCAATGAGGTTCTCTTCCTTATAATTCAATACTTAAAAAAATGGATTAATCTTTTGAAATAAATGCAATCCTTTTCTTATATATCAGTACTTGAAAATATAGATTTATTATTTTGAAATCAATGCAATCCCCTTCTAAAAATTCATTACTTTTGAAAATAGTTATATTTTTTTATCTAAATAAATTTTACACACTCAAGAACCATAACTCTGCATAACCTACTCAGACATATGAAGTACATTATAAAGATAAAACGATACCTAACAGCAATCTCAGACAGTCAAATTAGGGATATCACTACCCAAAGTTATTGTATATCGAGATACCTTTATGACTCTTATCATAGTCTGATTATTAATTATCAGTAGGGTGTTAGTGTAAGCTACTGTCCAATATCCCTTCTAAATTTGAGGATTTTCAGAGATTTTCTCTTAACAAGATACCAGAAAAATACACTTTGATGTTTCTTAGAGATTTAGTCTATACATAGATATAAAATAATGATCATTGAAGTACTCCAAAAGTTTTTCTCTCGTAAATGATATAAAAGATTATTCAATGAACTTTCCCTAGTAATATATCTCTTTAAGTTGCAACTGAATTATGATTTTCTATATATTTTGCCCAGAAATTAAAAAAATCTTTAAATAGCTATAATCCAATATTCATTTTTGGGGGGTTTTTGTTTATCAAATCAATGTTTGATATTTATTTTCCAACTTCTATTGCATAAAACTATGCCTTCAAATATGAAAATACTTTTCAAGAATATTATCTTTCAAATATTTTAAAGCACTATGAAACTGTCAAAATGATGTTTTTTAGTAAGTTAAATGTCAACATTTTTCTAAAACGCAACCATTTTATTCAAGAATGCATATAAATCTCCAAATTAAATAATATCAAAACAGTTATTACCAAACAATCACATTGTAAGCAACTCCTACTAAAAAATAATATTTTTCAACCACCATACTTATTAATTAAAATTTAATCTAGTTCATTGAAGGATTATATGAATGTATATAATTGAAAACAGAATATAATGTTGGATAAATTGCCAATAAACATTTATATAAATTTCTGGACAAATATAAATATTTAACGGATATCAAAACATACCTTTTGTATGGTTGTCTATTAAGCCACATATTCCAAATAAAAATATTTTTGTTAAAT